ATAAGACACCATCCATGTATAAATGTATGCCACCTGCCCGTGTGTCCACGCACCCACCCACCCACCAGTCCATTCACCCATGCATTCATGTATGCATATACCCATCACTCATCTACTTGTGCACCGCCTACCCGCACGCCCATTCATCCCCACAGGCACCCATCACTGTTTACTCACTGGAGTGGGCACGTCAGAGTAACACCATGGAGTATAGGAATGATGATCAGGGTGATGAGGAGGAAGAGGAGGGTTTTCACGTTGAAGATGTTGAAAATTGTGCCCCAAGTCACACAGGCAAAGACAGCTGAGCTTGGCTGAACCCACAGATAACCAGGCCATCAAGCAGTCCTGGTTCTGGAGACTTCTACCTTCTTCATACCAATCCCAACCCAGTCCTATGGAGAGAAGCTCCCCCAGCAGACTAAGTCTCCACCTTGTCCCACAAATAGTTGTGGAGGGATCCTGGAGCCAAACCTTAACTATATCTTCGAACCACAAGGTCAAATGGTGGGTAGGAGGCTATGTGGTTACAGGCCCCCTAGAATGCCTGGGCGATGTCGCTTTCCACCTGCAGCCGGCAGAGGGCAGCACGACGCTGTGCCGCAGACCCTCTGCGCTTCGTTTAGCAACCCTGCATTCTTGTTTTAGGAAACTAAGGCTTAAAAGCAGGTCGGGTCCCACCTACCAACAGAAGTATCCACTTTCCTCGGCCATATCCCTCCTGGAGAATCCCAGAGCCAACACTATCTTGGGCCTCTGGATCTGATTGTGCTGGAGGTGGGGTGGGAATCCCAAACCCCAGGCAGAGGGCGCGTGGGGATGACTCTTGCTATTCCAGCCCCCCACTAAAGCCACACAAATCTTTTGTCTCGCTAACCGATCCCAAGACTGAGGCTGTTGGCAGCGACGTGGAATGGTCCCCAGACTTGGTGGGGAACTTCAAAGTATCCCAAGTCCAGTTCCAGCTGCAAGCATAGCTCCCTGTCGCCACGCGGTGGCAGCATCCGCCTGCCAAGCTCCTGGACTGTTCTGCTCGCTCCCACCATCCGGCCCAGCTCAGCTCCCTGACCACGAAGTTGTGCGAAGTTCAGGGCTCTTGGTTTCAAGAGACAGTGGTGTGAAACTCTTACTGTTGTTTGATGTCTGTGCCTCAGTTTGCCTGCTTGTGAGGTCCAAAGTCTGCTTTCTACAGAGTTTTTCAACCCAAAACATGCTGCACAGCTGCACCTGCCTGCCTCTGAACCTGGGGCCCAGGAGTGGCTCTCTCCTGGGTCATGGCAAAAGTTCAGAGTATTTGGAGAGATTATAAGGGGTTTAGGGACAGGGAAGAAAGCTTCTGGGCTCGAGGTTCCTGGCCAGGCTGGGCTAGGTAAGCCTGAGGACAGAACCCCCTCATAGCACTCCTTATTTCCACACCAGGCAACTAGGTACCGGCCAGACCTTAAAGACTTAGAGCTCTTTTTGTCTATTCCCTTGTCATACTGGCTCCATTTAATGCTGTCTGAGGCTGAAGACACTTGGACAGGGCTTGGGCCACACCAGCAGGTATCTGGTTACTAGCTGGTCCGCTGAGCTAGGACAGATCTAGCTTTGGTAGGCAGGGTCCCTGGCACCCACTTCTACAGGATAGAATCGAACCAGAGTCCAACAGGATGTGCCGGGCACAGAGGCCAGCTTAACTTCCCACTCTGGCTGATCAACATGAACCAGATCCGAGGCCCGCATCAGACAACCCAGCAGAGTGGGTCCTGAGACTGGGACTCTCCGGGGACGCCTTCTGTCATGGTGGACAGGTTAGTGTGCCTACCAGTCTTTAAGTCCCATGCTCTGCTTGCGCTCTGCAGTGCCTGCGTTGGAATGATCTTTCACTGGAGTTTGCCGGGCAGGCAGCGATGCCTGATCTGGGGGGGTGTGGCCCTGGAAGCCCCGGTGTGGGTAATGTCTAGGGAGATGATGTCTGCACTTAGAAAGGAGATGGTGGTGGGTGGTCTCTCCCTCTTCGACTAGAAACTGGAAACCAAGTGACCACCAGGCCCTGCATGAGTAGTTTCTTAGCCCTCGCCCCTACCCCCACCCTCACTGGTTCGGAGGAGCGCAGGTGTCTCTTCGGGGCCGCACCCTCCTCTTCCCTCCCCCCTTCCCACGCAGTCCTGGGAGGGCGATCGGAAGGGAGCTGGCCTGGGGAGGGGGGGCGCGGGGTTAGATGCGTTCGTATGTCACGGGGGAGGGAGGAGAAAAGGGAGGGGAGAGCCAGGGAGCGCGCGCGAGAGAGCGCGCTGTGAGCGAGGAGGGCGGGCGGGAGGCGGATCCTTCTACCTGGGGCGCGCTCGCCTGCTCGCAGCTCGCTTGCCGGGGCCGCGAGTCACCTGGGGAGGCGGACAAGTGCGGACACATTGGCCGCCGCGGCGCACCGCGAGGCGCGCACGGCCCCAGGCGGCTGAGCCCAGTGGAGGCAGCGCCCGCCCACCCACCCGCCCGCTGCGCCCGGTCCCGTCCTGCGCTCGCAGAGCCCCACGGTCACTTCGCTGGGCTCCGAGATCGCGGTTCCCGACCCGGGTCACTCCCCCGGGCGCACGGGGCGGCTGCGGCGCCCTGGGCTCACCATGGTGGCAACGCGTGCCGAGTGCCCGCGCGTCGCCCGCCGCCCGAGTCGAAGCGCCGGCTGAGCGTGGTCCTCTCGCAGCCCCCTGGCCCCTGCCCGCCAGCGCGTCCCCTCCGGCCGCAGCTGTCTATGGCGCAGCCCCCCTCCCTGGATCATGCACAGAAACTTTCGAAAGTGGATCTTTTACGTGTTTCTCTGCTTTGGCGTCCTCTACGTGAAGCTCGGGTGAGTATTCCTGTGGGCGGGGGCGGCAGAAGGGGAGCCGGCAGCCTTGAGAGCCTCCTCCAGCGGACCTGGGGACCCGAGTTGGGGGGAAGGGCGATTCTCCGAGTGGCCGGTGTGTCCGGTCCTCGCCTCAGCCTCGCAGACTCATCCGAGCCCCTGGAGCCAGGAGTGCTCCCGAGGGGCGCGGAGCCCAGGACGCTGCAGGAACAGCGCGGCCCGCGGACGGCCGCAGCGGGGCTCGCGGGTAGCGGCGAGCGTGCCGGGCGCGTACTTTCACCTGTTTGGGCTCCAGGCCCCGGGGGTGGGACGCGCCTTCCCTCCCCCGGGCTGCGCTGGGCGCGGAGCCCGGGCCGAGCGCTCGCCGCTCGGAGGGCGCGCCGGGCCGGGGGCCGGGGGGCATCCCGGGCGGGGGAGATCGGAGCGTGCACCGCCGCGAGCGCGCAGGCCCCGCACCCGCCGCGGGCCTGCGTCTCTATCCATCACCCGGACATGTTGAAATTACCTTGACAACTCGTCCGGCTGGCTCAGGATGGGCCGCGGGGCTGGTGCAGCAGTCTCGGGCTCCGTCCGGGGCCCGCGCCCCCGCCCGCCTGGGGCCCTGTGCCCGGCCCCCTCTCGCCGCGCTCCCCCTGGCGCGGCCGGGCGGGCGGGCTCCAGGCGGGCCGCGCTCGCTGCTCGCCGCCGTAGCTGCTCCGAGTCGTATTTCCACATTCCTGAACCTAGCCGAGTCCTTACCTGTTGAGCCGCGATCTCCTTTAGACGGAATCTGTCTCGGCCTCCCCGGATTGGGGGTGGAGGGGCAGTGTGACCGAACGGAGCGCAGTGCACCTCGCGGGTGTCAGCCACTCTTGGCGGTCCGGCCCAGACCCCCACCCTCACCCCGAGCACCTGCGGGCATCTGCGCCCCGCCGCGCCCCGTGCTCCTACTATGCGCCACCCGGCCTCGGAGGCCAGCCTCATCTTGGCCCGGGGAAGGCCAGTGACCAGACCTGTAGGAGGGGCGGGTTCCGGTACCTGGGAGACTGGCTTTCCAGGCGACAGGTAGAAACAGTAGCTGAAGATCAGCACCTCTCCCAGCCCTTGCACCTCCGCCATCTTACAGGTGAAGAAATTGAGGCCCAGAGAGGGGCAGGGACCAGGGCCGGTGGCCTTAGAGGCAGGGTTGGAAGTCCCTTACTAGCCTTATTCCTGCAGTCCTGGGCGGGAGTGTCCGCGGCTGCTGGTGGTTGTGTTTATTGTAGGTTTGTGTGGGTAGGCTGTGTCCCTGGGTGTTTGTTTATGAAGGTGAGGGGTGCCGGCTCTGAGCCTGCTGGGGGTGGGGGCGGGGTGGGCAGGCCGCGGCTTCCCGTACTCTCAGCAGCCTTCAATGATCCTGCTGGGCCTGCGAAGGGATCCCTTCGGGACAAGGCTCCAGGCTGGTCCCAGCTACCTGGCTCTGGCGCCGAGGCCTTTGAGTTAGGTGCTTGACTCCACCGGCTCTGGCTTCCACCTCCACCGCTGGCCAGCTTTCCTTAGCACCAGCTCTTCAACAAGAGGCCTCTGAAAAAGCCTCCTACCCAGCGAATGGAAAAGGATGTCAGAAGAAGGACCTGGGTTACCGTGGCTGGGGTTCCCCCTGGAGTGGTTCCTGGGTTTCATCTCTGTACCTCTTCCTTCAGCTTCTGGAAGTAGGATTTTGGCTCTGGCTGTTCTGAACAGCATGGCCGTCAGTGTTGAGGAGAGAATGGGTAAGTGAGACCCTAAAAGGTTTCTCTGTCCAGCCCAGCTTGGGCTCTTAGTGTCCATGACCACTACCTTCTGGGACTGAGCAAACTTTCCCCTGCATGGTTCCTGCTCTGCCCATGAGCCCAAGAGGGGAACTCTTTTCCCTCCAGAAACTGCCCCCCCTCCAGATTAAAAAAAGATTCCAAGTCTTCGTGGCATGACCACCAGGAAAGGCAGAGACTCACATTGGTACCTGCAACGTGGGGGCTTGGACCGCTTTGTAATATCTCCCTCTCTCTCTCTCTCTCTCTCTCTCTCTCTCTCTCTCTCTCTCTCTCTCTCTCTCTGTGTGTGTGTGTGTGTGTGTGTGTATGTATGTGTGTCCGTGTCCTCCATTAGGTGGGCAGGAAAGACAGCTGCGCCCACATGTGACCCTAAAGGGATAGGTGGTGTGGAAGCCTAGTGGGTTGAGATCTCTTTGGAGCAGGCATCTCACACCACTTCTGGCAGATGTCTCGATGAACTCTTACCCTAGAGCAGTCTCTCACCCTCATCTGAGAGTAGTAGAGTGATGGTAGACGCTCTTGGGGGGCTGCTGGGGCATTATTTCTGATGGCTTTTGCCCTGACCTTAAGAAATGATGGTGGAATCATGTGGCACCCACCGGGGACTCCTCCAGATAGTTTATTCCAGGGAGAGGGTCTTTTGTGATCTCAGATCCCCCCCAGCCTGCCTCTCCTGCACCTTTCTGAATGTGCAATGGGGCCTCCAAAAATCCTGCCGAGTGCATTCATCCCACATACCTCCTATACTAGCAGGAGTCAGAATCCAACCCTCAAAATCCCAGAACGAAAGTGCCTTGGATTCTCAGCTCGTTCCAAGCACAATGGCATTGGGGAATCAGTGCCCGACCTAAGGTCCCTATGGATGGAGCTGCTGTTCTGGGGGAGGCCCAGGTGGGCTAGGGAGCAGCCAAGGTCACTGAGATGCCAGGAGCAGCCCTCCCTAGGCTTGTTCATGCTGCTGTGGGCAGGAGAAGCACGTGATAAAAAAGGACAGGGAGGTCTGAAGTCAAGAAGGTTCCTGCTTCCTGGATGCCCAAGAATCTCCTTGCCAAGCCCAGGAGCCAACCATCCTCTCTTTAGGACCGTGACTGTACAACATACAGCCCCCTGACTCCCTGCTGTCCCCTCGATCTGAGACTTCCCCTAGCTGACATTCATCTCTATATAAGTACATTCCAATAAGTCAGGCTCAGCAGAAATAGGGGATGGGACCCAAAAATCTGTTTGTAGGCTCTGAAAAATATTTACTAGGAAAGGGAGAGTTCTTTAGAAGGGTCTCTCCTCACCCACCCCAACCAACTCCTCGAAGAGCAAAAGGTGATAGACATGAGGGCCCCATATGATGATAGCAGCAACTGGGGACCTTCCCCTGCCTTCCTATCCAAAGAGGTGCATGGAGGAGGAGGTTTAGGCACCAGACCTGAACCAGAATGCACAGGGCTGGCCCAGGTGCATTGAGAGGGACCCGCACCCAGCCATCCCTAGCCAGGCTGCAGGCAGGCAGAGGGACAACACACACCGGGCATCTGTGTACACACACCTGCGGGCTCCTAGACCGCCCATGCACCGGCAGGAACATGCAAGCACATGCATGCACACATGAGCACACGTTGCTGAGCACAGCCCCTAAGAGGCGCGCACGCCTCTGTGCAGTGCCTCCCGGAGATGCGCTCTCAATAGCGGTGTTTCTAGCCAAAGGTTGTGGCGAGGGTATACTGGCCAAGGCAACTTGGGCAAACCCTGGGGGCGGCACCCGCTGCACACTCTGGTCAACCTCCCCTTAAAAAAAAAACCCGCCCGCGGAGGAGGCGGATGTAGGGGCGGCCTGTCCAATGGCAGCTGCGCGCTTCGGGAGACTTAGAGACTTGAGCCAGAGTGAGCGACAGAGCCTGTTCGCACCGACAGACAGACAGAGGACCAGAGAGCCGCTAAGGCGCGCCCACTGTCCCCCGCCGGGCCGGCGCCCTGAACTTCAGCCCCAGCGCCTGCTGCTGCCCCAGATACAGCACGATGCACGGTCCCGGCGTCGAGACACGGGCGACCAATGTCCCCGGGCTCCCGAGACCTGGCCCCTAGCGCCCAGCGCTACTGCCCTGCATCAGGAAGGGTCGCAGAGACCCCCGCCTCGGTTGGCACAGGAGCCCTGCGGGTGGGGCCTGTACAGCCCAGCCAGGCGCGCCGGCCCATCATGCTCCTCCTGTCGCCGCGCAGCGCGCTGGTCTCCGTCTATTGCCCGCAGATCTTTCTCCTTCTGTCCAGCGGCAGCTACCTGTGAGTGCCGCGTGTGGCGGGTGGAGTGGGCGGGAGGGGAGCCCTTAGCCACTACTGCTGTAGGAGGGAGGGCAGGGGAGGTGGCAAGAGGGTCCCGGGGTGGGGCTCTGGGTATCCTGCGTGTACAGAAGCTGGGGGCCCTTGGATCACTTTGCTGGTCTAAGCCACCGAGATAGAACACCTGGGGGGCAGCTGTGGCAATGAGAAATTTTAGCTTAGGGTCAGAAAAAAGGTGGCCCGAGAGCAGTTCAACTGCCCTTTCAGATTCGGGTGTGTGCACCGAGCACAGGGACCGGAGCTAGCCTGTCAGAGCTACGATTTCCTCCGCGTCCCAGCAGGATCCTGGATCAGTGAGAGATCTTCTCCCTAGGCCATATTAACCCACGCAGCACGCACGGCCGTGCCGCTCTAAGGAGATTCACACGCATACATTTGCTTCCCAGCACCCTCACTGGCAGACACGTGCACGCTGCGCCCCACCAGATAGCGTGCCCAGGTTGTCGTGCCCCCCCCTGCCCGAAGTCTCTGGTCATTTGCGCCATCCTGACACTCCTGGAGGCCTTGAACCCTGTCCTGCTTGACGCGCCCTATGTGCTCTTAGGTCGCAGAGCACCCAGGTATCAAGGCCTAGGGAGTGCACAGAGCAGGGCGCACGGGAGAGGGGTAGGGCGCCCACCATGCTACGGGAAGCTATGGGCCCAAGGCGGCCCTTCGAGCCGAGGGGGCGCGTCCGCACAGCGGTGGCTTCGCCCGATTCCTAATGGGACGCATATGCTCTGGCCTCCGATTTAAAAAGAAGTTTGATTTATGGAACCGCCGTTTGGGAGAATTGAAGCTGGATGCTACTGATTAAACCTCAGAACCAGCGCTCCCTCTCCCTCTCCCTCTCTTCCCCTCCCCCGCCCCCTCCTTAACACGCGGGCCACGTCCGGGGTCGCCTAACGCGGCCAGAGGCAGCCGCCTTCCCGCTCTCTGCACCATCCCCTCCCCGCCCCGCGGCCACAGTCCTGATAAATTGCCCCGCCCCCACCCCTTTTAATAAAGACGCAGCCAATTTCTTCTCCAGCTCCTAGGAAATTACTATCCTACCAGTTTTCCTTCTATAAATAGTCGCGCATCTTGAAACAAAAGTTCGCAACCGCAGCCAGATGCTGCGAGGCCGGCGGTTTCCCCGGCTGTGGAACATAATTACAAGGTCCGGGCAGAGGGAGCGCTCCAGGCCCGGCGGGCAGCCCTGGCTGCGGAGGCATCGCCTGGGGTGGGGAGTAGCAGGCCTCCCGGGGCAGGGCGCAGGGCCCATGGGCACCGCCTGATCAGTGGGGACCTGGCCAAGAGAATCCTGCTTTTCTGCTGTCCTTCATTGAAATGGATCAGCCAAGCACTCCAAGGGCTCCTGGTACTGGGGCTTCTGAGGCCTCCCTGTCCCCAGATCCTGGCCACCCCAGTTTTAAGCCTTGCTGAAGAGCCTGCAGTTACTCTGTGTGAGAAATCGTTTGGGGACACCAGCAGCTGAGGTTTGGGGGAGGTGTCCGGAGCAGAGGCCAGGAGCCCTGGGAGAAGAGGCTGGTAAGGTTGATTTGCCCCCATAACAATTGCAGGGCAGATGGTAGCCAGTGTACCTCCGAGGTCCCCAGTTTCCTCCTGGAGGGACCACTCCAGCTTTATGATGACCTCCAGGGTCTGTACCTACATAGGTTTGTCCCTGACTACACAGCCAGCTCTGGGGGCTCAAAGTCTTTCAAGGGAGCAGCTTTTCAAGTGTGTCCAGGCCAAGGTTGGAGCCAATATGAGTGGTGGTAGCCGGGGCAGGTGGGGGGGGTGGTAAGACACAGCAGATCCCTTCTACATCACTGGTCTTGCCTGATGTTTAGCCCTGAGGGGTGAGGAGGAAGAGCCTTTTGGCCCTTCATAAGCCCTGTTCCTAGGAGAGGGGGGGCTAATGATTTTAGTGCTGGGCCTTCCTCGCCTTCCTCAGGGTTGGCTGCATGAGGTGCCTGGGAGGGAATGGACTCTACAGTTGGAATGAAAGCCTGGTGTGCTAGCCTGCCCTGGGTCAGGCTCCCTGGTTGCGGAACTTGGTGAGACCAGGCGATGGTTTGGATGGCCGATGTGGAAGGTGGCAGGGGTCAGTGTGAGACACCCCCGTCCTAGCACTGCAGGAATGTCCCAGAGGATGCCACAGCGAGGAGGGGCCCTGAGTGGAGGCTGTGTTCTGTTCCAGAGAACTTTCCAGAAGGCATCCCATTGCTGGGACCACAGACACTAGCCAACAGTTGATCCTGCCCCTTTCAACTGGGCTGTTCTCCCGGCTCCGCATGCTGGGCTATCATCTGAACACAGTGAATCCCAGACACATGCCTGGGCCCCTGCTGCTGATCGCGTTGGACGGGTGTGCTGGCCTGGAAGGGCCCTGGGCCCCTATCAGACTCCAAGTGTGACCCAGCTAGGAGAGCAGCCCCGGCTGCCTCTACCCATGTTGTAGAGTGGGGGCCAAGGGGGGGGGGGGGAACGCTGCAAGGGACCAAGGGAAGGCAAATGGGAACCGAGGCCACAAGCAGGGTTTGGAGTGTTGGGTCAGCTGGTGTGAGGGTCTGACCCAAGCCTGGAGCCAGAACCAGCCTGGGCTACTGTAAGGGCAGGTCCCTTCCGTTCTTGTCCTAGATGTGGTAGTTGGCTGTGATGAACCGCCCCCCCCCCCCCGCCATGTCTTCCGGTATAGCCTGTCATGGTAACCGCCTGCTCTGTGGAGCTGAGTGAGTCATGGGTGACAGGGTGGTTACTCACCGACCACCTGGCTTGGGGGTGCAGAGGATGCTCACCACTGTCCTCCCCAGGCCCAGTCAGGCCTCTTCCTGGCTCCTGTTGTGGCTTTGCCGGTGGTGCTGACCACAGTCCTAAAAGCCCTGTGGGCATGACCCTTGGTGAGATGGGCGCTGAATCAGGCTGCTCCTGTGGCATCATAGTCCAGGGGGGCAGTGTGGGTCACAAGACTTCAATGTGGACAAGTCACCTGGAGGGTGGTGTCTGTCTGGGCCTAGGTCTCCTCACCAGTCTCAGGGGAAAGACGTCTCAGGTCAGGCCCAGCTGCCTCTGGGTTTGAAAGCATGCGACAGCTCTTAGACTGTTGGCACAACAGGGTTAGAGCTGGAACACCCGGGGACAGCTTAAATCCCAGGAAACCTTCCAGCTGGAGCCCCTGTAACCACAGAAAACTACCCCAAACCCACTGTGGTATTGTACGACTCACCAGCTGAGAGAGGAACGGGGTACAGTCTGGGGTGGACTTCTTCCAGGCCCTGTGTGTGCAAAGGGCTTTGCCTCTTTGGTCTTTGGCTGTGGGGGAAGCCGGAGGGTGGGGCCCTTTCTAACCTGGTTTCCTTGGAGTTGTGGAGACCACGAGGCATGCCAAATCTGGGGTCTCATCCTCACTCCACCTCTTCCTGCCTGGCTGTATGCTGACCCTAGGTAACACCTCTGCTCAGGGAGACTCTATGGGGCATGAAACCTCAGGGCAGCCTGGAGCACCCAGAGAAGATTCAGGGCCAGTGCTCTCAGTTCAGATCCTGATGTTAGGCATAGTTCAGGAGACAGGTGGCTCTGGGTAGCGTGGGGTTGGGCGCTAGTGACACAGAGGGGAGTGTAAAGGGAGCTGTCACTCAGAAGGCAATGGTGTACTCTCAGGATGTCTTAGGGGGCTTCCTGTGGGTGGATCTAAACAGGATTTTTTTTAAGGATGGAAAGGAGTTTGGGCCAAACTAGGTAAGATCACAGCAGAGACTCCTGAATGAGAAAAATTGGCTGTCAGAGACACATCCACCCAGGGTCCCCATGGAGATGGAGAGGCAGACAGAGTACTGGAGTCCTGAGAGATAAGGTCACCCAGACTCCAAGTCATCCTCACGCCCTCCTGACTCCAGCACCCCACATGGCTCTCCCTGCGGCGATCCATCCCAGAGGGGAGAGGTGGCCCAGCCAGCTGTCACTAGTGCAATGAGACAGGTGAGTACCCCGGAGGGCGAGGTCTAGAAATGATGCTTCCTGCTTCTGCCTGTTGGTCCTCCAGCTCTCCTGCAGAGTCTCCAAGCCTCAGTCTGGCCTGGACGGGCACATGAACCAGGGTTCTATTGCTTCAGGTGTCCTGGTGGGCATGGATGCCCTGCTGGGGTTTGAGCCAGTCTTCTGATTACGGTAGTGGCGGGAAGGCTGCAAAGGAAACTAGTATTTTGTACCCAGGCTGCAGAGGGGTCAGGGGGAAGTGTCCGGCACAGGACCCCTCTGCGCAGCCCGTAGCCAGCCCACTAACCTCTCCATCTCCCAGGCAGATGAAACAGCGTCAGCAGACTCCCTGGAGGCCTCCATTTTACATGGTCCTGAGTCCAGCTGGGATAGGGCTCAGCTCCCCTCCCAAGGGGACAAGAGGCTGGCGCCCTCCCTTGTCAGATGAAACCCCGGCCCAGGGCTCCCTCAGCCTGATGAAAGGGTCATTGTGTAGTACAGGCCGCCCGCTGGCCAAGGACAAAACGGCCGTTTGTCCTCTCTCCTTGGTGTGGGGCTAGGGGCCTCCCCTCAGGCTGGCCGAAGGGTGGGGGTGGGTACAGGTGCACTCGGGGGCTCCCTCTCTTTCCTTGTCTTCTAGCTCAGTCTGCCCCTCCCCCAGCCCCTTACCCATCCAGGATCACCTTGCCCTTGCATATGGATCCCCAGGCTTGAGCCAGCGTTACTGCTCTCTAGGGGGCAGTGAGCTTCCTGGTCCTGGAGGCATCCGAGTAGATGTAGGCATGACACCAGGGATTCTGAAGAAGGACTCTGCTAGACCAGGGAATCTGGTGCTCTGGGCACACAGTGTACGCAGTTAGGTGTGTGACTACAGCCACTGTACCAGTGCGGAGATGCTGCAACCATGGCCGAGGCCGGGAGTAGAAGATGTCCAAGTGCCATGGCCTCTGCTTGGTCACGGCAGCTCTCTTAGGCTTTATATGGCTGTGACAAACACCGTAACCAAAAGCAGCTTGGGGAGGAAAGGGTTGATTTGGCTTGCATATACTAGCTCAGTGTATTGAGGGAAGCCAAGGCAAGGACTGTACTCAGGACCTGAAGCAGAGGCCATGGAGGAGAGCTGCTCACTGGCTTGCTTCTCGCTGCTTGCTCAGCCTGCTTTCTTACGGTACCTAAGAGCGCTCCCTGTGGGATAGGCCCTCCCTTATAATCCTTAGTCAAGATAATACCTCACAGACTTGCCTACAGGCCAGTCTTATGGAAGCATTTCTCAAGAAAGATTCCCTTTTCTTGGATGACCCTAGCCTGTATCAAGTTGATATAAAAACTAGCTGGTACTACAGCTATGGGTTTCGAAGCCTTCCGAGGGCTGGAGCAGAGCTGGGCACAACGGTGATCACCAGGGAGTGCACGGAGCACATGGGTGCAGGGAAAGCCAGGATCCCCGGGAGTCCCATCAGTTGATATTTAAGGGCCTCATCACCTTCCAGAACCCTCTGTCATTGTGCTGCCTGACCCCTCTTGGTGCTCAGAAGTCTGCCACCAAGCCCGGGCGAAGCTGCTACACACGGCCAGGTCCCTGGAAGGAAGAGGACAGATGGGGTTCCAGATTGCTCCCAGTAGCAGAGCAGGCCATTGGGTGTAAAACAGATTTTAAAAGCCCCTTTGGGTTTGCACACCTCTTATCCTAGCACTCAAGGCTGAGGCAGGAGGATCATGAGTTTGAAGCTAGCCTGGGTTTCTTTCATATTGAGGCCTGTCTCAAATGAAAGACTATAGACTGAGAATGAACCAGCTGTCTTGTTGACTCCAGACTGGGGACATAGGCCCCAGGGTTCACGTTTCCAGAAGGACCTGTCCTGTGGGCCTGGCATGACCAGCCTATCTAGAGTCTGCTCTAGAGTCTCTTTCCTCCCTGGCTGCTGGCACCGGGGCTAAACCAAGCCACCTCTGGCATAGGAATGTGAGGGTGGGGCGGTCAGGGCCAGGCGTGTCTCAGGTCAGGGCGTCTGCAGCTAGATTTGAACCCAGGTTTGTATGACTCTGAGGTACATGCTTCCTCTAGCATCTAACCAACACTGTTGGCCTCTATCAACGTTTGTTACATTTTATCAGGGTTGAGAACCCAACTAGGTCAGTTTGTTGCAGTTATCTGTGCACCAGGAGTTCCTGGGCCCTGAGCAAAGCCTTCCTCAGCAACTTGGGGGATGAGCTTTTGCTTTAACCCTGGAGGATATGGAGATGCCCGGCTTGTCTTGGCTCTGCTCCAGCAGCTCTGAGGCCAGCTTTCAACCGGAAGAAAAGTGGGTCCAGCAAGCCAGCCTGGGCCCTGTGCATAGGTTCAGTGTGTGCTTGATATGATATACTCACGGACGGATGTGCCTGGGCCTGGATTTGTGGTACTCCTGGCTTCTCTAGACCTTGGTTTCCCATCTGAGGGAGGCTCTAGAGCTGGTCCTCTGGCTAGTCCCTCTACATTGGGTCGACTCTTCACACAGCCTCAATTCGTCTCCAAGTTCACACACAGCCCTGCAGCTCCCACAGAAGGGACCCCTGACCACCTTCAGTAGGGGTGACCCAGGAAAGGCTTCCAGAATAGGGTGACCCGAGAAGCCCCAGAAGTCATCCCTACCAGCCTGAGGGTTACAGGTTGAAGCAGGGGCTGAGGGCTGGACTGAGGCTGAACACTTCTGGGAGGGGACTCAGGTTTTCCAGGGGTGACTTCACCCCACCCCACTCTCCTTTCCTGGGACATGCTGTGTCCCTATAGATCAGGTTGGCCCACGGGGAGGGATGAATTTAAGCCACCATATATGCCCCCATGGGCCAGAGTATTAGTGTACGGCCTTCCTGTGGACCAAGCAGCCTGGCATTCCCTTTGGTGGCCCTGCCACAGGGTGGAACACCAGGTTAAGCATGCCACCCTCCCAGAGTGACCTTCTGAACTTGGGACCATGGGATGGGCTGAGATGCACCATGGTCTAAGACTGAAGTGAGAAAACCTGGGGTTGGTTGGGCAGGTAGGCGGTGTGGAGACAGCATTAGCCCAGGGCCTGACACGTCTAGATGCTCTTTATCTTGCCTGAGCTCTGGGACAGAGATGCATGGCATAAGGGACTCCAGGGACACAGCTCCCAAGATGGCCAGGAAGACAAAAGACAATGCTTGAAGTTCCACCCTGTCCTTCTGCAACAGGAGGTCCAAAGGGCTGGACAGCTTCCCTTGGGACTGTGGTACGGGAGTTGGGTGGGGCTGGGGGGGTCCTGGCCCTGCCTGAGGTTCTGTGTGGCTTTTCCGGCGTCTTCACAGTAGAGTATGTGGCAATGACTCCACCTGAGGGAAGTCCTCCTTTCGTGCTCCAGCCCTGCCTGAGAAGCAGCATAGGTTGAGAGGCCGGTCAGTGTTTCCTACCGGACCCCTCACAGAGCAGTGCAGGGCCAGGGCATACAGGCAGGTCTACAGGCCCAGAACTGAGCCCTGTCTTCCCGTGTGCCTTCCAAGGTGGGGATTCCTGTAATGGAAAGGAACAGGGTAGCCGTACTTGCAGTGGGGAGTGAGTCAAAGAGGCAGAGGCCAAGCACTTGGCTCTAACTGTGCCAAGCTGCCCTTAAGCCTTGGACAGAACATGTCCCTTCTTCGAGCCTCATCTGGGAAATGGGAATAATGGACTCCTAGCCAGGCTGGCCACCAGGATTGAGTGTCTCCTTCCCCAGGGCTTTCCATATCAGAAAGCCATAAGGTGAGGGACCAGGAAGCACTGCCCAGGGGGGCTTCTGACTAAGACAGGTCCCCAACTGTGATGACACAGATAGCAGGGATGGGTCTGGGCCCTGACTAAGGCTCACACTGCCCTGGGTGCTGTGTGGCCAGCAGGCCCAGTCCTCTCTAGGCTTTATCTCTCATCTTATACTGGGTAAGAGGTCAGCTCTGCCTTGAGGTCTGTAGAGAGATGTTGCCTCGATATCCTCTGTGTGTGTGGTGGGGGGGGACTTGGTCCCCAAACTCACATCTCAGAGTATGCTCAGAGTGCCCCCAGGAAGTGCCGGCTCAGCCATCCAGTGTTTAGACTCCCAAACTGGCGATAGGCCAGTGGAGCCTGCCAAGTCCCTCCCACCTTTTACAGCCGCCTGTCCATCTGTCACTAGGTCTCAGGTTGGTGCCTTCAAGGCACCCCATATCACATAGGTTGTGTGGTAAGTGCCATGCTGGCCTGACAGGGTATCAGCCTCAGTTGTACTTGGGCCAGGCTCACAGTCTGGGGGGCCTTGGCACCTCTGGATGTGGTGATCTCCATCTGTACTGTGGGAAGCAAAGAGATAAGCCAGGGGTAAGGGCAGAGGGAAGCCACCTCACCTCCTGTGCTAGGCTTGCAGTGAGAGTGAAGCAGGGTCAGGCAGACTTCCTTCCTGGAAGTGGAGGCAGGGAGCTAGCTGGGTGTGGAGTCCTGTTTGACTGCTGGAGGGCAAAGATTTGGGCCATTAGGGCCAGGACCTGGCGTGTTATGGTGGGCTTTGTGTGCCAGGAGAGGTCCTGAACTTTCTGAAGCTGGAGGTCAGTGGAATTGCAACGGTTGCCGTGCGGACTCAGTGAGCCCATCAGCCCCCTTGGCCCCTTTGCCCATGCCTCTGTGCCACTCTGCGCCTGTGGCGTTCTCATCTCCGGCAGCTCCAACCTACCCAGGCCTCCTGCTCACCGCTGCTTTCTCCCAGACTGCCTTCTTTCCCTCCAGGGTGGGGTCCCAGGATGCCTGGATGGAATGCCAGCTATGTGGAAGGGTGGGAAAGCCTCTAGCAGAATCTCTCTTCTCTTGCCTGGGAACACCAGGAGCTTCTGAGGGGAGCAGTGGCCTGGAAAGACGGGGCAAGTGGGACCCATCCTGGAGGGGAGGGGCTGCCTGTCGGAGAGCTCATCATGGGCAGGTGGTTCTCTCTCCTGACAGATGGGCAGACTGAGGTCCGGGTTGGTCAGAAAGGGTCAGAGTCTGAGCAGAACTGAGACCTAGTCCCCACAGCCGCAGAGGCCCTCTTTAGGATCTAGCCTCAGGTACCCTGACTTTCACCTCAACCCCTTGATATTCAAATGGGAAACTGAGGCCCGGGCAGGTCAGGGAGGTGCTTTATGGTGGCTGAATTCCCAAGCAGAGCCCGAGAGGTGCCTGCGCTCAGCCCTTTACAGTCCCTGGCTACCTCCAGGCCCTCCAGGTTTCTCTCAGTCTGTTTTCCCCTCTGTAAGTTTAGGCTTCAAGGTCCACCATGAGGAGCCCCCCGGAGATGGGTAGAACAGGTAGGGAACTGAACTGGGTGGGTGGCTCTTTCGGCTCTGCGTCTCTGGGGGCAGGTTCTGTGTCAGGGCTAACAGTCCAGTTGGATGGCCAGGCTGGACCTGCCCTCTGACACTCCATTCCGGGCCTCACCTGGGTGCAAGTACTTC